TATGTCCAGAGAAAGTCTTCATATTCAGATGTAATATGTTTCTGTTTTAACCTAAACCAGTGTTTCTCAACCTTGACAATTTTAAGGCATGTGGACTTCAACTCCCAGAATTCCACAGCCAGCATTGCTGGCTGTGGAATTCTGGGAGTTGAAGTCCACATGCCTTAAAATTGTCAAGGTTGAGAAACACTGACCTAAATGTTGTCCTTGTGTTTTCAATCTTAGGTACCAACTCGTTCATGTATGAGCTCTTAGAAGCTTTCTGTATATTTGCTTTTTTGAAATTTTTATTGACCTGGGAATTTTCATCTAAACTTCTAAGGCATAAAAATATCTGCAACAATCTGTCTCTCTAATGGCCTAACCCCCAATTCTCTGGCCTTCATATCCAGTCTGATACCACTTTACATATTTAGACTTTGGAAACTTGCTACAACAAATTACACTGATTTTACAGACATTTGGTCTGACAACATACAGCTTTAACCATTTTTCATTTTTTATTTTCTGCCTGTATATTCTCTAGTCAATCCATATATCCTGTTAAAACACTGATTCCTGTAACCTGTAACTGGGCAAATCAGTGCACCATAAGGCAAAGCTTTTTAAACCACATGGGCTAATTTACAGAATGCGTCTGATCTATGACTCCAATGGAATTGAAATCTGTTAAATTTTATAAAACATTTTATGACATAAACATCATAAAACAGATTATGACATAACACAAAATGTCATAAAACATTTCTTGTGCTGATGTTTGATTGTGCTATACTCTTCAACATGGGTTATTTTCAAGGCAGATACCTCTCTGAATAAATCCCAGGGAAAGCAGTACATTAGAAGCTCTGCCATTGTTGACCCAAGGAGTCATGCTGGTCTAGTTTTATCTCTATAAGTGGCTCTATTGTCATTTTTATGCTTTTGTGTGATTTGCTTGTCTGTTTAATATAAAACTAGGATTTGGTAAGGATTTGGTATTTACAAAGACTTATACCCTTCTGTCCTTTTATTTACCTATAGTTATCAAGTACTTGTTGGAAAATCTTAAAAGAGAAATATTGCAAGCTGAGAGGTCTTTACTCCATGCAGCTGCTTCATTCCCAATGTATGGCAGAGTACACTGTATAACTGGGGCTTTGTGTCAATTAAAGTGAGTAATATCATTGAATATTGATGTGAATTGCAATCACATTCATTGATTTCTTTGTTGCTGTAGAGTAAGCTGAAGGAGTGCTTGGTCTTGAAATGGTGGGCTGGCAACAGTCCTTGGAAAAAGTAGGGGGAACGAGAACAAATGCTATATGAAATTAAATTTTAATTAGAATGTAAGTCAGTTTCATTCAGTGTAATTATTTTCCACATGTTATGCATTTTGCCTTTCTGCCACAATAAGTAAAGTTTGTGGGTAAAATTTGGAGAGATTCTTGTGGGCAGATCTAGAATTTGTAGGGCCTGCATAGCCTCTCAGTGACTCCTGTAATAGAAGTTTGCTTGGGCAAACTAATAAAAAAATATGCTCTTGATTTGAACTCAAATATGCTCTTGATTTGAGCTCAGTTCCATTAAGTATGTGGTTTTCATGGCAACACTGTGTAAATAGTTTTTATTGCCTTCTGGAATGCTTTCCAATTTTCCAGTTGAGACTGTGGCCTGGATTCCATGGTGGTCTTGTATTAAAGATATAACCAGACTGAACTACATGAATCTTTTGAAGAGTATTCTATGTTGCTTCCTCAGTGAAAAACAGTTGCATCTAATCGGATTCATCCTGTTAACCTAGGATGTAAACACAAGTTTCAATGGTGCCAAAAGGAAATATAGATGAAATATGAGGAGGGGAAATTTAGATTGTACTTCAGATAATAAGACACCTTGAGAAGATACTGAGAAGTATCCTTTTTAGTATATCTCTTTGTGTTTTGGGATTCCAGTGATTCATCTATTTATATAACCTTCATTGAGAAGAAATATGACATGTAATAAATTATAATATAATCTTGCATGCAGTAAAATAATTCTGTGGTTTTAAGCTGTAATTTGTATGTGATGAATTTATATTGAATAAGCATTAATGTATCATTTATTTTATTTTTAAACTTGTAATTAATTTTAGGGTGACTTGATTCACAGTGAATTTTTTTGTTCAATTGTTCTTTGTTCAATTTATTTGTTACAGTCATATGACATTGACCAGTGAATGGAAGGAAGTAGTGAGAAAACTTATTCTGATGTCCTACAAACTTTCTGCTGTAGTATCTCCTGTAGTTCAGAGTTCATCTCCAGAAGGTCTTATTCCAATGGATACTGACTTGGGTAATGCAGGAATATTCCTTAGATTCCTGACTTTTTTAATGCACTAACCTCAATGAACCTTATGTATTTTGTTTATCAAACTTGATGTCTCTTTGCTGAATCAAATAGTTTCCTTTTCTGAGCCCCCCAGAACTCTGCATTCCAGTATTCTTCTCTCTATATATGTTGGTTCTGGTCAATATGATGCTGTATTTTCAATGTCATTGTAAAATTGAGATATGAATGCTTATTATTTCTCAAGAACATGCAGCTATTGAGTATAGGGTACTCAGGTAGCTATATGTCTCAGAGTGCAGGACTATAAGAGGAATAGAATAGAACAGAACAGAACAGAACAGAACAGAGCTGGAAGGGACCTTGGAGGCCTTTTAGTCCAGGCCCCTGCTCAAGCAGGAGAACCTATACCATCTCAGACAAGTGAGTGTCTAGCCACTAACATAGCTGAGGACTTATTTGCTATTGTAGCTGATTAATAATAGTGATTTATAACTTTTTGCTATAAGCATCCATATAATTAGCAGAGACATAACTGTAGGCTACTCAGTTGTGACCGAAATAGCCTAGAAACCCCCTAGATATATGCATACTTACATCCATTAAAAAAATGGATAAGCCCTTCTTCTGTTTGATACAGCTATATGCAAAAATTTGGCATCCCTGATTATATTGTATGTTTCAGAGAATCTCTTAAGTCAAGAGGTTTCAAACTTTTTCAGACTTCAGAATTTGTAAAAAAAAAATTCTTGGGACACCTGATCAATAGACAAAGTTCTAGTGACAGATAGTTGGCTGCATTCAAATGAACATTTGTTGCCACATCAAGGTTCTGCAGAACAATTTGAAAAACCCTTTCTTAAAGCATCTGATTATACATTTTGCGGTAAATGTACTCATCCCACATACTGTGTTCACGTACCATCCATATTCTCACAATTTCTTTTGATTCTTCAGCCCCCAAACATCTTCCTATGTGGACCGAGGAAATAATAACATTGAGGCTGTGACAAATTGCTATTTCATTTTAGATGAGGAGAATGATGTTTATTAGGAGTGATGGGCTGAAGAGTTTATTAGCATAAGTGTTCAGTCTTTGATTTGGTTTGGTCAAAAAACTTGATTTATTTGGTTTAAAGTTAAAAAAAGACAAAGGTTTCCTTGTCAGTCATGCCCACTCTAGGGTATGGTGCTCATCTCTGTTGGCCAAGGGAGCTGTGTTGTCCGAAAACAATTTCCGTGGTCATGTGGCCAGCATGGCTCTATGCCAGGGGTAGGCAACCTTGGCTCTTTTATGACTCGTGGACTTCAACTCCCAGAATTCCTGAGTCAGCTATGCTGGGAGTTGAAGTCCACGAGTCATAAAAGAGCCAAGGTTGCCTACCCCTGTTCTATGCCAAAGTCATACGGAATGCTGTTACCTTCCCAGTGAAGTGGTACCTATTAATCTATTTGCATTTGCGTGCTTTCGAACTGTTAGGTGGGCAGGAGCCAGTTGAGTTTAAAGGAAGGGATTTAAAGGAAGAGATTTAAAGGAAGTTTAAAAGAAGAGGACATAAATCTGAAACTTACAACTTGTTTTCCAGAAAAATCCATGCAAGCCATTGGAGTGAAATCATTACTAGCTATGTGTTTGAAAACTGAACTGGATTGGTTTCATGTTTTGTATTTATAGGATAACATAAAAGCATACATAATGTTTGCCTGGTATAGTCAGTGCCTTGATCAAATTTAAGCATGGTCAAGATAGAAAGTTGATAGGCCCACATGTGGTTGACATTCACATTTCCAAACGTATACAGAAGAAGAGGAATGGAAACCAGGACTGGCAAATCCTTTCCAATTTTTCTCTTACACGTTTATTTCTTTAATTATTTTGCTCCATCATGACTGAGAGGCCATTCCTTCCTTAAAGTTGCCATGCCTTTTTTTTGATGAAGTAAGCAATGGATAGGGACACACCTATTTTTTTCTTTCTCTTTCTCTAGCAGTTTGGAATAGGACAAATGGTTCTCACCTAAAGACTGTATTGAACTTTTATGAGAAGTTTTAAAGTTAAGCAGAAGGCTGCCAAATATTAGTCTCAGAGCTATCTATAAACCTATGGCTCCAAATGGTCTGCCCAAAGCATATGTAAAATGCACGTCTGCTGGTGGTGCATATAAGAAACAATAACCTACTGTTTTTAACTAGAAAAATGGGTCTGGCCTTGAGAAAATTTAATTAAAACCAATAGAGGGAAAGGGTGACAAAACCAGGGAAAAATTTGGAGTAGATCATTGTATGGATTTAGACTGGGATCACAGAGTGCAGGGTTACATGGCCTGTAGTTTCCAGATCTTTCATATTACATTCCTACAGTTTCTTCCATCAATCGAGCTGGCTGTTTCTGAAGGAGTAGAAGTGTAACATGTCTGGAGGAGCATAACACTTCCATTTGAAGTGTAATAATGGCTAATGGCTAGATGAAGGTGAAAAAATGGACTGATCATTAGAGTCAAAGGAGAGAGTGACAATGTTAACTTTATAGCAAAAGAATAAGAGATCAGGAACTTTAAGGAAACTGCATTGATTGAATTAGAAGAGTTATATTACATAACCCTAACAAGAACTTCACACAGTGGTGAGGCAATCCTGACAGGTTGACTTTGTGTAGTCATTATATATTTTAAAGTAAATTTTCTGTTTGCTCACAGAAACATCAGAGAGATTGCAGTCTATTCTACTTGAGATACAGCCATGTGATACAAATGATTACTTCACAGAAGCAAAATTGTTAAAAGAATATTACGGACCAGACTGTGGTGATGGGAGAGCTTCAAACGTTTGTACTGAAATTAAAGGTAATTAAGGATGAAACAAGTTTGTGCCAAGGAAGACTATGATGAAGATTAGAGGATAATCTTGGAATTTTTATTCCAATAACTGTTATTCATAAAAGCCAAGACTAGCTGGTTGCTTGCTGCTTCTTCTGTTCTCTTTTTTTTCTCAGCATAATTGTAAACTGTTTGGATTAATGCCTTTTAAAGCATTAGATGCCTAATAAATATTGATTACTATTAAAGGAAGCTGAGAAAATTTGGCCTGAGAAAATTACCTACTTATACTAACAGTAGTAAATCTCAAAATGATTATTCTTATTATAAAAGTTTAATATTGGAGTCATCCAAATTAGTGTCTGTTCAGAGTTGTAATGGTATGGAATGAGTGTTGAATTCTTACGGCTGGTCCTTGAAGTTCTAGTTGTCCCACATTCTCCACAGTCACATGATTACAATCGGGGTAATTGGCAACTGATTTGCACGTAAGACTGTGGGGTGCGGTGTCCCACAGTCATATGATTTGGGGAAGCCAGCAGAGAAAGTAGCAAGCTACTTGGGTAAATCTCCTTTGCCTGGAAGCAGCCATCTCAAGTCTTGTGGTGCTTATACCACATTGGCCTCTTCCACATGCTCTCTCTCACTGCACAGCAGTCATCCCAAGCCTTGCTACATTCATGCTGGACTGTACTGGCCTCTCATTCACCCTCTCCTGCTCTGCTGCAGCCACTTACCTGCTTGCAAACCCCTCTGGGACTTGCAACTTCCTGCTGACTTTCCTACTCGGTTGTTGGAAGCCAGTAGGAAGTTGTGAGGAGCTCCTTATTTATTTATGAAATTTATTTGCTGCCTATTTCATACCTGGGTGACTTATAACATAAAAGCATTAAAACATTAAAAACATGACAACCATCAACACCAAGGTCCTTGCTTAACAATCCACAAACCTTGCTTACTGACAGCAACAGGGAGTGCCATTACTAGGCCGTGAAGTTTTGTGAGTTTGTGCTTTGTGAAATCATTGCTTAGCAGTGAAAATTCTGATTCCAATTACCACTAATATCTGAGGAATATCTGCATAGTGATTGCAAATTAATTTAGGGACCTAAACCTGAACTTTGGTTCAGCTTGTAGTACTCTAGAGCTAGTCCAGTCTAAATCTAAGACCAGTTTAAAGATAATATTTGGAAAAAAGCCTTTTTCATAATCTAATAAGGGAAAAACATTGTTTCCATTTTTTAAATTATTATTTTGAATTACAGTAGATGTGATTTGTAGGAAAGCTTGATTGTTATGAGGAGAAGCATGATACTTTCCTAGGGATGCAAATGAAGCTCCTTTCTATGTTGCGCTAATGTTTCTGAGACATATCTAATGCCTCCACTTTTATGTTAATAATGCAAGTATTTATCTTTTTTGCATTATCTTGGAGCCTCATGGAATTAGATTGGTGTTGGAGCATTATAGAATCTCAGAATTGGAACAGAAGAGATTCAGATGCATCCATTCTGTTCTGGAGAAGTTATAAATTACGGTTATATTTTATTGCACAGACTAGCTGATGCATATAGAATGATCATTGGTATATTAAATAATATTAAATAGAATTGTAAATTTTTAGATAAGATTGTAGAATAATTTTTTTCTTGTTATTGGTGTTCTGGTGATTCTAATTCTTTGGCATTCGGGCGGTCTGAACTCATCCTACATCTCACCTTTATTTCTGTTTTGAATAAAAGAGTACAATGTCAACTTATTTCTCCTAAGTTTATTATTTAAAAGAAGCCACTGACCATGAATATCCAGAGATTTGAGGTATTTTGTCAATAATATTGTGATGGGAATGAACGTGAAAGGCCTAAAACACTGTCTGATACAATTGTTTGATTTTTTCTTCCCAGGAAATAAAAAGTTGAAATCTAATGCTCTGCAAGCTTTTATCTTATCTTTGCAGCCAAAAAAGTTGTAGATCTAGTATGCGTAATACTGCATGCATCTCTCTGAGCTCCCTATCAATATTAGTCAGAATAGTGACATGGAATAGCTCAGTGGTTCTCAACCTGTGGGTCGGGACCCCATTTGGGGTCGATCGACCATTTCATGAGGGTCGCCAAGCAAGGCTGTCTGCCATTTTTTTTGTCTGCCATTTTTTTTGTCCGCCATTTTTTCCCCCTTTTCCGGCGGGTGCCTTACCTCCCTTGGGCTGGGCCAGCTGGTGG